AAAAAAAGCTTTATTTATTTGCAGCTAGAAAAGGATATTGAAAATGCGAGATGTCAACGTTCTAGCAGTTTAGAGGATAATCGCTTAATAGTGAATGATAAAGAACAGGAACGGTGTCACAGCTATGAAAATATTAAAAATTTTTAAGTTACAAAAAACTATTTATTAGCACTGACGAATCGCATCAAAATCGTATGTTTCTGAACTGACTGAGACACGATTAACAAATTTTTAGAAGCATGGATTTAGTTCGCGACTGCTGAATTCCACTGTTCCACCGTTTATGTAAATGAAACCAATATCGTCTGTATTTGTAAACAGTGATACTGTTAATATTTCTGACCATACGTTTAGGCCGTCAATTAAATTGCGTTTTATGGCATCACTGAATAACGTTAGTAATACAATACCCAACTGTACCTGAGAGTTTATTGATAGCTTTCTGTTTTTAAACACAGTAATGAAAATTGATGGTAGAACTGTTCTAAAAGTTTGTTGTTTTGTAACAGTATTTTGACGTATGGAAGAAAAAAAAAGTAAAGTTTCTTGGAATGTATTATTGGCTTTCAGACAACAATTTACATTGGTTTTTTCATGCATATATAGTATTGGTAATAAATGTTATGCTACAACAGCATTGTCAAAGTCTGTCAATTTTTAGAAGATAAAGAAGACCTAACTATGAAAACGAAACAGTTCAGTGATCACTGATGAAGGCAGCGCTGATTTTTAGTTACTAAACATGAAATTAATGACCTAATCGTCAAAACTTTATTGTTAATTAGGTCCTAATTTAAATAAGCTGGTCAAAGAATTATAATAGCTGCTATGGACCAAATAATCCCCATTTTTGAAGCAAAAAAACTGTTGCACAAACTGGAGATTAAACATTAAGATTTTAATACAACTTTTTTACATTGATTACAATTAGTTGCTTTTCTAACCTTTTTTGCCTCTTCTCATCTTTTCTTTTAGTAAACTACTAAAGCCGACAAATAGCCGGGTCGGCGGATATGTCTAAACAACAGGTTCAAGTACTTTTTTCTTTTGTTAAAGAAGAAGAGGAAAAAGAGATTGAAGAAAAAACATGAACTTTACAACCAATTTGAGAACGCATTTTTAAATGTTTTTTTTATATTGACTTTTTTATTTATTTATTTTTTTTTTGTGAATAAGATAAACGAACAAAACGTTACTTCTTTTTCCTTCGTGGATTAACTAAAGTATTTGTCCTGTCAATGGCCATCGCGATATGGCATAATAAATATTACAGCTGAATACTGTTGTTGACACAGCAGCACTCGGGTAGCTGTTTGTTTTTGGTTAGCGAAAGAAAAAAAAAAGTCTACTTTTACTATATAATATTTATTTATTTATTCATTTTTTTCTTTTCCAAGCTTTTTTTTAACATAATCGATTACAGTCATCAACGTGGTAAAGTGGACTAAAGCTGGTAAAAATACCCATCCAAACAAGTACATTTGGGTTGTTCAATAAACCGACGGTTGGGATGATGAGCTCAACAAACTGTTCAAATTGGTTGCTACCAGATGTTCCTAGTAATTTTGTGTTTGAAAGCCCAAAAAATTCTATCTCCAATGAGCGCTATCTCCAGCTTCAGATTCTTCGTTGGTCTGAAGTCTTTTAATCTGCCGTTTGAGACTATGCTGTGTCGTATTTACAGATTTTTAAAACTATGTGTTACTTTTTTTTTCTGCTAGCTTGTTTACTGTCTTTCTATTGTTGCTCAAACTCATCAAAACAATCTACTGATAGGTATTTTTAAAGAAATGTTGAGGCTTTATTTGTCGTATAGGATTTCCTGTTTGGTATTGGTTACCAAAGCGGCAAGTAATTTGACCAACAAAAAAATAAATGATTTCTTTTAGCAACAAATTTTGGATGATCTAATTTTAGGTTAATTAAGTTTTTACATTACCGATTATTTCTGTTTTTTTTCTTTGGCTTTAATTGCTCGCTAAATACTTTCGTGTTTTAGTTAAATAATCAATGCAGTAAGATGATTGTCGTTATTATTATTATTTTTTGCCAGATTAAGCATGGTATTCAAAAATATTTTACTGTATAATCATTTTCAGCTAAATAACCAGATACTGACTGTAAAATGAAATTGTCAAAAAGCCTGATAACAGTATTCTGGTTTATTAGCATTGCATACACTGCTTCACCGTATATTTTTCGAAAAGCTTGGGTCAGAAACTATGTCAAGTTTCAGTATACATTTGGTAACAGTACTGGACGCTCTACTGGTGATATAAAGCCAATCGGTAAAAACTGGTGAAATTGATTGGCAGAATCTGTT